CGTCTGCACCCACTACGGCGACATGACAGCTCGAGCTCGGAGCTTGATCGCGGCAGGCCGAGGGCCAGCGGGCGCTAGCCTGGCGAGCATGCGTATGCCGCCGGCGCGCCGCTGTCCCCATGGGGTGAAGCACGCGTTGAAGGATAGGCTCAGCGAAGGCGGTCACCACTGGCTCGACGACGAGGGGGGCGTCACCTGGGACCCAGCAGCCCGCGGGGGCTCCGACCCGACACTGCCCAAGGGCATCGGCCACATCAAGCTCGCCGGTACTAGGCATCTGGTCTGCTCAGTCGACGGCCCGATCGGCACGGTTCGCTGGCCCGCTGAGGGCCCGGGCGGACCGGGAGGAACCCTGGTCCACGTCCCAGGACGCAGTGGCGGGCGCATCAGGGCGCTGTCACCAGAAGAGGTTTGGATCGTGCAGGGAGGCGATGAGGCGACATGGGTGCAGCGGCGAGCCCGAGGCGACACCGAGAACACCCTGATGCGGGAAGCAGCGAGGTCCCTGCCACCAGAGACGGCGAGGGCTGTGCTGGGCGCTGCCGCGGACGCGCTGTCGCAGACCACCCAGCGGGCGGGCGGCTGTCACGATCCCGCGGAGTCGGCCGCCTGGGAGACAACCCGACGGTGGCTCAGGGCATGGGCGCGGAGCGAGCTTCAGGTGAAGGCCGACAGGACAGAGGACGACCAGCACGCTGGGGTACTGAGCGACGACGTCCACAAGGCGAGGCGTAAGAGCCAAGGCGTCCGCTTCAAGGCCATCGAGGAGGACCTCGTGCGGGGCCCCGAGCCCCCTCCCGACGCAGAGAAGGTGGACCTGAATGCAGTCGTCAACACTCCCAAGAAACGGCGGAAGAGGAGCCCCAACCGGGGCAAGAAGGTGGATACCCAGGGTTTGGTCAAACCGGTCGCCCTGGGCCGCGCTCGCGCCTCCATCGCGCTGCCGGACCACCCGATGCTGGGAGGGGACGACTACGGCAGGTGGATTGAGGAGCAGAAGCGCGAGGCGCTGATGCTGCGGCTGTCCGAGGGAACCCGCGCTGGTTACGAGACCGGCTGGAAGCAGTGGCAGAGTTTCAGCGCAGCCCAAGGAGAGTCGCCCTGGCTGGAGGGGCGCGACCGCGAGGAGCGACACGCCAACGAGGAGGCACTGTTGGGCTTCGTCGTCGTGTTGGCTAAGGTGCTGAAGCGCACGGAAGGGACAGTTAAGCAGAAGTTGTTCGCGGTGCGCTTCGCCCACCTCGTGGTCGGGTATCCAGACCCTCTGCTCCACCGGGGCCGTCTCTGGTCCACGCTCGCCGGCCTCCGGAGAAGCCAGGGGCCGAGCGGGAGGAAGCGGCCGGTGACGCCCCGTATGCTCCTGTGGCTCCAGGGCTTCTTGAAGGACCAGACGGACCTCCCCGAGATGGACACCGCGGTCTTGTGGGCCGCCGTGGCGGTGGCCTTCTTCTTCATGCTGAGGGCGTCCGAGTACTTGATCCAGCCCGGGGAGACATGGAGCCGAGAGCGCGTTGTGCGCGGAGTGGACGTCACGGGCCGCGATGGCGACAACCAGCCCTGCACCTTCAAGGACGCGGTGGAGGTGGTGCTCCACATCACCTCCTCGAAGACCGACCAGTGCAACGTGGGGTGCGTAAGGAATCAGTACGAGACGGGCACGTCGCTGTGCCCCGTGGCAGCCCTCCGCCAGCTGGAGCGGCACTACCCGCAGAGGCTGCGAGGAAGCGAGGAGGAGCTCCCACTCTTCCGCTGGGCGAGCGGAGCACCTATTCGTCGCGAGGAGGTGCAGCACTATCTGACGATCGCAGGGCTTGCCGCCGGGCTGAGGAAGGAGGAGATCGGCTCGCACAGCCTCCGCATCGGGGGCGCGACAGCGATGCACTACGCCGTGGACGACCTGCAGCGCGTCAAGCGCTTCGGGCGCTGGGCCTCCGACAGCTTTCACGGGTATCTGTGGGAGAGCCACGAGCCCATGCGCGGCATCTCGACCAACATGGCGACGGATGTGTCTGAGCTCACGGCGCCGCCGGCCCATGCGGCCGAGGGCGCGCGCCGTGCAGGCAGGAGCCCGACCCCGCTTTGGCCCAGAGCAGCGCTGGCCGTGACGACGCTCGCCGCCACAGCTGGCAGCGCAGACGGCTACGTGCTCAAGGTCAGCCCGGTGGAGAGCCAGAATCTGCTGATCCTCGTGCTCCCGGTCGGTTTGGGAGCTTGGGCGATGGCAGCGGGGGCACTACTGGCAGCCATGCTGCTGAGCGCTGCATGGCGGCGCGAGCAGCAGCGAAGGCGCAGAGGAGCGGCCCGCAGGCGCAGCAGCAGCTGCAGAACCCGCATCCCCTGCGCAGGCATGCTGTGTGCAGCGCTGGTGGCGACGGCGCTCACGACGGCAGCCGGAGAGATACAGAGCCGAGAAGTGGCAACCGTTGACGGCAAGGCCCAAGGGGCCATGCTTCGCTGGGGGCCGCAGATGGGCACGGTGGCGATCGTTGTCCTGGTGGGGACGGCGATGAAGGTAGTGGCCACGATCGCCGTGCTGCTTGTGGCAGGCATCGGGGTGATTGGTGGCTGTTGCTGCGGGACGACCAAGGAGAACGAGGGTAGGCAGGAGCCAACCGTGCAGCAGGCCGCCACGCAGCAGACGCCCAAGGCGCATAAGCCTCCCAAGCAGCCGCAGAGGACGTTTTGCGACGCAGGGGTGATGGGCCCAGTGCACTACAATGGTGTGAGGTACGTGCACGAGACCCAGGGCTTCCGCCAGGCCAACGAGGTGACGCGGGAGATGGCCCCGTCAGGGCACCGCGGGTCACCAGGATGGCCCCGTGGAGGGGAGCAGAGGCCGCACCGTGACTAGGGCGCGGGCTGCCGCCGGCCAGCGGCCGAGCGGGCAGCAGTGGACCGCCGCCGGCAACCGCCGTGCGAGCGGCCACGCGGCGCCGGCTGAGTTCAGCCTGGCGCTCGCATCAGCTTCGCACTTGCGAACGAGCTGGGCGCGTGCCGCGGCCGCGCTGCCCGTGGGCAGGTGCCGCGCCGGCCTGGCACCCGGCAGTGCCGCCAAGGGGGCAGCAGTGGCGGCTTCGAGGGAGCGCCGGCGGCTAGCCCAGCCAGGGCTGCCGCGCGGGGCGCGTGGGAACCACCGCCGCCGGCATGCGCCGTGCGAGCGGAAGCGCGGCGCCGGCTGAGCTCAGCCTGGCGCCCGCGCTCAACTTTGCGCTTGCGAGCAGCTGGGCGCGGCGCGGCGGCAGCTGGCGCCTGAGGGCAAGAGCGCCGCGCCGGCCCGGCAACCGGCAGCGCCGCCATGGGGGGCGGCGGTGGCGGCTACGGGGGCGCCGGCAGCCAGCCCAGCCAGGGCTGCCGCCTAGGGCGCACGAAGAACCACCGCGGGCGCCGGCGGCCTGCCGTCCTGCGCCTGCGGACCCACCTTGCTGGGCAGACACGGCGGCCTGCCGCGGATGCCAGGACTGTTCTACGCCGACAAGGTCGGCGGCTACGCGCACCACTACAGCCAGTTCGGCGTGGTGGCGCGCTCGCAGGGGGAAGGAGGCGGCGCGGCCCGCTGCGCGTGGCCGAAGACGGCGCCGGCGCGTGGAGCGCCGGGCGCCAGCGCAGAGGAGCAGCACGGCCCCTTTGGCAAAAGGGTCGTCATCATCATCTGAGCCGTGTGCGTCCCTCTTCCTCCCCTCTTGAGCCCCTGCCTACTAGGCTCAAGAGGTTTTAGTTTACCAGTGCTGCTTGAGGGGATATCTAGGATGTTTGGTAAAACTGATGGATCTCCCCGACTCCAGAACTGGCGCGGGCTTCCACTTGCGGTTCCCTTGCTCCTGCCCTTGCCTCTTGCTTGCCCTTTCTCTCTCCCTCTCTCTTCACCGCCGCTCCGCGGCTCAAGCCTTTCCAAGGCCAAGCTGGCCCACCCTGGGAGCCCCGCAGGGCTCCCTACCCGCCCCCTTTTCTGGACTTTTACAGCGCCGCCTGGCACTATAGCGCCTCGGCGGCGCGGCGCGGCCCGCTGCGCGTGGCCGAAGAAGGCGCCGGCGCGTGGAGCGCCGGGCGCCAGCGCAGAGGAGCAGCACGGCCCCTTTGGCAAAAGGGTCGTCATCATCATCTGAGCCGTGTGCGTCCCTCTTCCTCCCCTCTGGAGCCCCTGCCTACTAGGCTCAAGAGGTTTTAGTTTACCAGTGCTGCTTGAGGGGGTATCTTGCCCTCTCGACCTCCTCCGCCTCCCAAGGCGGGCGACAGGGGAGGGGCGGGTCGGGGGATCTGCTGCGCGGAGCTGGCTTCGGGTCCACCACTGGGCACGTGCCTCGATGATTGCATGGCCGCATCTGGCGCTCGCCTCATTCCTCGCCGTGTTTCCGTCTTTCCGCACCTGCATTTTCCCAGCGTGCTGCGCTGGCGATTCGCCCCTGAGCTTCCACCCATTCTTCTGGGACCTGCCTCTTCAAACGCAAGCCAAACCGTGATCCCCTCGGTGTTGACGCTGCGTGATCCAACTTCTCTGGGTTCCATGGACCGCAACCTGCAGTTCGTCGTCGCCAGACCTCAGACCTCCGACGTCAGGATGTTCTCATGATGTGGAAGGCCTGAAAGCTCCCCGGGGCTATGGCGGCTATGGCTATGGTTATCACCCCGAGCCGTTTCCGACAGGCCCCTGGGCCCGAACAAGCGCCCCTGGAAGCCGAGACAGGGGCCAAAGCTTTCGTCGTGATTTGTTTTACGACGCGAGGGGAGGCTTGCGCCCCCCTCCCCTCTCCCCCCCCAGCCTCAACCTGGCGCAGCTCGAGCTCGAGCGCGTCCGCCAGAATCAAGCTGCCGCTTGGCAGCGGCGCGGACGGCGCATTGCCCCCAAGAGGAAGTATGGCGTGGGCCGCGAATCCCCTCGCGGGCCATGCCCGTAACAGACGCAGAGAGAGAGAGAGAGAGAGAGAAGGAGAGACATAGAGAGAAGAGAGCATGCTTTCAAACCATTGCCGTCGTCGGCCCGCTCCCGCCCCCTCCCCCCAGAGGTTCTGCAGGGGATTGGCCCAGACTCGACCGTCGCGGACGCGCAGCTCGCGGCCGCCGCGCTGTGCGGCCTGCCCGCGGAGCAGGCGCGGCTGCTGTGCAGGGCCCGGCTGCTGAAGGCGGGGCTTTGCGGGTCGTCGTCGTCGAGGATCGTTTAGGCGCCCCAGAATTCTAAGGCGCCCAAATGGGGCCGGAGTGGATGGGGTCGGAGGAGCGCGCCGCATCACCGAGGCATCGGCGATTTCTCCACGCCGGCGATGCACCGCCGACGTCGCCGATGCATCACGGATGATCGGCGACGCATTGGCGATACGGCGCGATCCTCCGACTCGATCTTCCCAGACCCCATTTGGGAAGCCTCAAACGGTGAGGTGAGAGCACAGTGAGGTGAGTCTGGCGCGCCCCAGATTGTTCGCTCGATCACACAGCTTGGACACTCGCGTTTTCACTCTGCCATGTCGTCGCCGTCGAGAATCGAAGTTCGAGGAGGTCTGTGGCTGCTTTCGGTCTCCAGGCGGCTCGTTTCGGTTCACCGGGGCTGTCAAAAGTGTTTTTATCGTGAAACGGGCCAGGACAAATTCCCAGAGGGCCTCCAGAGACGAGTGTTGAGTGAATTTCGAGGTCCATTGATGTCGTCGATGTCGTCGTCCTCGTTGTTCTCCTTCCTCCCTCTCAGGTCCAGGATCTTACGAGCGTATGCGCTCCTCTTTGGGCATCCAGAGGCCTCCAGGGGCCTCTGGGGCCTCCAAGAGAGGAAGAGCAGCAGCAGCAGCCGCAGCAGCAGCAGCAGCAGCTGCAGCATATTGGACCCAGGATGCGGCCGTAATGCTGCAGCTCGCCCTCCCGCCCCACGTCCCCTCTTGCGGTCGTCTTCGCTTTGGGACAGCGCCCTCTTGCAGGAAGGGCGATCGACGGGCCTGCCCTTCAGTCGAGGCTTCCGTCTTGAAGAGGAAGCGCCCACCCGCTTCCAAAGCCTGAACGGGCGCGAAGAGGCATGAACGGTCAATGCAAGGAAGAGCCCAGCGAGAGCCCAGATTGAAAAAAGTTTTCAAAAAGCCGTTGCCATGCACCCGTGCAGTTGTTACAAACTGTGTATTTTTGGGGCAGTGAGTTCCAGGAAGTCTCATTCAAGAGCCTAATTTTGAGTTGAGTCGCCCTCCAACCGTCAAGTTGTTCAATATATTTGAAAAGAGTTGTTGTCCGATTGCCCCATTTTGACAAGGAGCTGCTCCCCATACGCGAAATGCCAGATGAACAGTATATGGTCCACCTCGGGGAGTTAGAACACTTTTTTGCGTCGGCGGCTTGGCAGAGTACTTGCGCTGGCGGATGAGCTAACTAAACGTGGGCACCGTTGTAGCGAATTGTGCCACAATGGGAATTTGGAAACAAGCAGATACTCAGGGTGCTCTCTACTGGGCCGGTCCTACCCGCCCTACCGGCCTGGCCTTGCTGGCCCCACCAGCTTCACCATGCTTCACCAGCCGTACCGGGGCCCCACCTACCGGCCTTAAGCGTCCCGAGAACGGCCTTATCTACCAGCCCTATACCGGCCCTACCGGCCTTGCCGGCCCTACGGCATAAGGCCTTGCTTTCCGAGGTCTTGGGGCCCGAAGGGGCCCAGGGCAGCAAGCTGATCGATTCTTTTCAAGATGAATGATTCTGTGAACACGTATAACTATCATATCACAATGTGGTCTCATACGTGATCATACATCGTACTGCAATTTCCACAATATGCATGGCATTATAACGCAAACTCAATAGACAAGTACGAAGGTCATTTCGAGAATCGAATGGTGAAAACAACATGTCGACCACGAGGTGGTAAAACGTGAGACAAGACATTTCTTATTGCACGCGCGTTGCCATGCGAATACCAAAACTTAATTTCAAACGCTGAATAGTCAAACACAATGTTTTGTCTTGAATCCTAGGCCTCAACATGCGATTGTGCGGCAACACGCAGTTCTTATTGCGCGCGCGTGCGTGCGCGCGGTGCCATCCGAACATCAATAGAACATGAACAACTGAATCTCGAAAGCCAAATTGTGAAAATCATTAAAGCGGATTGTTTCACGTGTATCCTGGGACCCAGCATGAGATGATACATTGGTTGGGAATTCTCAGCATGTTCTTTGGGGTCTCGTCGAAGCCTCTCGGGGGTCTCCTGGAGGCGGTTTTGAAGCGCTGCCTCTTGGAGGCCTCGTTGGGGCCTCCTGGGGGCCTCTTGGAGGCCTCGGGGTGCCTTTTGGGCGGAAAGCTCGGATTTTCGGTTCGTGTTCCTCTTCTTGGGCCCTTCTCGGAGCTGGGGCCCCTTTTGGGCCCTCTTGGGACCCTCGTGGGTGGTCTTAGGGCCCTCTTTGGAGCCTCTGGGGCGGTTTGGGGCGGTCTTCGGGGCCTATTGGGACGTCCTGGAGCGTCAGAAGTTTGAAAAGTGGAGAACCCCACAAAGATTGACACAACTGTGCCCGAACACCAGGGGGGAGGGAGGGGGGTGGCATTGGAAATAAGGAGGGGTGCCATTGGAACAAGGGGGGGGTTCTAAAGACCAATTTCTTATGATGAGCTAGGACTCCTATAGGGCAAGCCTATTTGGAGAATTACTTGTGAAGTGTTGTTTGTGCCATTCAGTATGTACCTTTGATATCCGCCCTCTTCCTCTTCGACCGCGTGCCACGTGTAGATGGCGCGGCCCCTAAAGTAGGAAGAAGAGGGAGACAAGAAAAAGGGAGAGAGCGAGGAAGAGAGGAGGAATCAAGAAACGAGGGATGCAAGAAGGAGGGACAAGGAGTGCGGACGAAAACGGCTTAGCAACAGAGGAGCAGGACACTTGGCAGGCGTACCCTAACGGGCGGGTCGGGCGCTGCGGACCCAAAGGGTCCCCGGGCGGGCGGACACTGGGGGACGGGTCGGGCGGGCGCGGCATTGCAGCGGGTGGGCGGGCTTCCAAGCAAGCGAACGGGCAGACCTTCCCGGGCAGGTCGGGTCGGGCGGATCTTAACAGGCGGGGCTTATGGGCGAACCGGAACGGGTTGGTCGGGCGGGCTGACCCCAAAGGGCGGGTCAGGCCGGGCGGGCCCGGAAGTGCGGGTCGGGCAGGCGGGCCTTATCAGACCGGTCGGCGGGTTGGGCATTGAAGCCAGCTCCGTACATAGGGAAGAATTCTCAGGCACCAGCATGAGCCGTGAGCAGCGTGTTGAGAAGATGCGTGCGAGAGCGCGGTTCTTTGGCGTCGAGAGCCAGGCGCTGAGTAGATAGTGAGGAAGTCCCTGGCGAAAATGCGCTGAGTAAATCACAAGGAGGCCTCGAGCGAGGTCACGATGTTTTACTAGATTGTGTAGGAGTCTCAGGCGGGAGCCGTGTGCCCATTGTTCCCAACCATCCTGTGGTGTTGGGTCCTCGTTTTGAAGAAAAAGCGCCCCGTGTTCTTTCTTTCCTTCCCGCTGCCCCCTCCCTGCTCCCATCGTCGTCATCATCATCATCGTCATCATCATCATCAACATCGTCAACATCATCAACCTCGTCAACATCATCGTCTCGCTGTTTTTCACAACCATCCTCTGGTGTTGGCTCCTCGCCCCCTCCTCCCTCATCCCTCCTCCCATCCCTTGCCTCTGCTCTCCGCATGCCCATCCCATTCTGGCACACCCCTCACACGGTTCGTGGCCTCATAGAGAGCTCCACCGAAGGCCCCAGTGGCAGGATCCGCATGCGGGGGCCGCAACCCAGTGTGGTACACCCCTCACGAGGATCGTGGCCCCACAGGGAGCTCCACCGAAGGCCCCAGCGGCAGGGTTCGCATGCGGGGACCGCCACCCATTTTGGCACACCCATCACACGGTTCGTGGCCCCAAAGGGAGCTCCACCGAAGGCACCAGTGGCAGGGTCCGCACGTGTCAACGCCACCCATTTCGGCACACCTTTCACACGGTTCGTGGCCCCACAGGGAGTTCCACCGAAGGCTCCAGTGGCAGGGTCCGCATGCGTCAACGCCACCATTTTCGGTGCACCTCTCACACGGTTCGTGGCCCCACAGAGAGCTCCACCGAAGGCCCCAGTGGCACAGGCCGCATCAGCCCGACGCCCATGTTGGCACACCTTTTACACGGTTCGTGGTCCCATATGGAGCATCACCGAAAGCGGTACCCACAACGCGGTATTCACAGATGTTCCCGGTCGGGTCTTCCGCCGGGATATTTTTTCAATGGAAGTGATCCCCCCAGGGCTCACAACTGGTTTTTCCTACAAGAGAAAGTCTTGCGCCTGAGAATGCGCTCTTCGCCCCCGAACTACAACAACGGTGGTGCCCGCCTCATATGTTACCATACTCTTTTCAGATTCGCCTTCTCGCGCGGTACGTCCTCATATTTTAACCAGGAGTCGCGCTTTCGCGTGGCATTTCCTCGCAATGTATTGCGGCGCCGTGCCCCCATCACTCAGGAATCACGCTCTCGCTCTGGATTTCTTTGCGATGTATTTGGGAATCGCGCTATCGCTCAAAACTTCCTTGCGATGCATGTTGGATTCACGCTTCAGCGACCCGCCCGCTCGACCCGGCCGTCTGGGCCCGCCCGCCCGATCTGCTTCTGAGGATCCGCCCGCCCGACCCACCAGTCTAGTTTTGCCGCCCGCCTGCAAATCTCTCTCGTGCTCTAACTATCCTTCTCCCTCCCCCTTGTCTCGTCCTTCCCCTGTTTTAGGGGTTGCGCTAACTACACGTGGCAGGCAAGGAAGATACGTATACCCCTAAGGGGGGTACGATCGAAGACGAAGAGGGCGGGTATCTAAGGTTTGGGATGTCCATGTTGGATGACACGCGAGCCAATAAGAACGAACAACCTCAAATTTATGGTTGTTGTTGGTGGTGGAGTTGTTGTTGTGGTTGTTGTGCTCCTCGGTGGGGCAACACACATCTTGAGTACCAAACTCAAGCTCCTCAGACAAAAAAAATGATTTATTGAATTTGCGTCTCTTGGGCTGGCTCCGAGAGCTCCCAAGACGAGCCCGGAGGCCCCGAGGCTCCCATGTCTCAAACTGCGCTCCCGAGGCCCCCGGAAAACTTCCGCAACGGGCGCTCTGTGTGCGCTTCCAGGGACCCTGGAAGCGCACACAGAGCGCCCCGAACCCCGGGGTTTGAACGATTGAAAAATTAGCCACAATACCGAATACAGTGAAGCCGAAGTGACTTTAGGACAGGACGTTGACCTCAGTGTCACGGCATCGTGCTGGACCAGGGCATGCCCTTCACGAAATGTGCTCGCCAAGGTGGAACGGAAAGCGCTTTCGCTTGGAATTCTGTCATGTTCATTGTCTTCGGCTTGGTCGTCAACATATGGGGAAAGTCCAGGTACGGAGTCTTTCTTAACGGACGCCGCTGCACGCATGTAGTTTGGGCGGACAGCGTATGGTTGCCTGTTTCCTCCCCGGGCGACATGCAGAACATGATCAGAAGCATGACGGATGTTCTCAATGATTTTGGTTTGCAGTTGAAACGTGATGGGTCCTCGATTCCCTTTCGGATGTTTCTGGTTCTCACATTATTTAATCGCTTCGCTCATGCCGCCGGCCCTGGAGCCCTCTTTAGGGCCTCTTGGGGGCCTCTTGGGGACCTCTTGGGAGTCTCTTGGGGCTCCTTGGCGGCGTTTTGGAGGCCCCCAGGGCCTCTTGGGGGGCTCTTGGGGGTAGTCGATTGCGGCTCCCCCCTCGGAGGCCACGATCCTCGTGAGGGGTGTCGAAAAATACCCTCCCCTGGAGTGGTCTGGTGGCTTCTCCCGGGCTTCTCTCAGGACCTTGCCGGGGTACTTTTCGTCCGGGGGCCCCCAGGGGCCGCTCCGCGCGCGCGAACTAGAAATATTGTTAACAAGTTACCGGAGATCTTAGCACGCCTCTGGCCCGTTGGGCCGGCGAATTTTGCCCACCTCCGTGGACGGATTGCTTATTGGCGTGCTTAGCGTCGCTGGCATGGAAGTGTCAGGAACATGTTTGGATGGCAAAGGCAGGACGAACCCAGCCGTCGGTCACCGACTCAGCTATGCGACAGCCGCATTTCGGAGTCAGAAGGACTTTTTCATCGACAACTGCTTGCCTTTACGTGCGCGCCTGAAGAATTTCGCAGATAGGATGATCCCTTGTGCGCTGTACGGCTCGTCAGGTTGGACGTGGTCTAAAGCGCATCATAGGCGATTTCGGATATGGGACGCCCGGATGTTGCGACTGATCTTACAAGCCCGCCGGCGACCCGAAGAAGAGAGTCTAAATTGTACGAAATGTGCAATTCAACGCAGTAGGGCTATCTACAATGATATAAAGTACTTTTCACTTGTTGATAAGAGTTTGCGCCACTTCCACAGGTTCGCCGTGACGGTGGGTGCCAGCCACGCCCAGCGACTTCCCATCTTCATGGCCGACGCCATCACCTGGCGCGACACGAATTGGTGGAGGCAGCGTCAAAAGGATGGCCAACGTGAGCGAGCTGACGCAGGCAGGTGGCGGCACGCTTCTGATTGGAGAGACCTTCATCGGAAATGGGGTTCCCCTCTCGTGCACCACTATGGCCAACACTGGTTGCATCGCACTTCTGCGAAGTTTTGGCTCTCCACGAGGCCAGCGTTCATCGAATCGGCTTTCGGGATGATTGGCTGCCGACGAAGCTTGAAAGAATAGCGTGAACCACCTGAACCCGAGCATGCTCGCAAGAGAGCACGGGTGGTGATTGACATCTTTGTGCAGTGGGAGACGCCTGTGAACCAAGCAGTGCCGATTCAGGTATGAGGGGGTTCAGCTGTGATTGTCGCGTGGATCATCTGTACGGCCCATGTGGATACGTTGCGCTTCATTCCAGTTATATCAAACATCATGCAAGTGTTGTACACCTCCTGGACGCGCGAGCACATCGTTCCGCGACTGCGACATATCCCCTGGTGTAGACACTTGCACGGAGAGTTCAACAACGATGCCGACGGTATGGCGACCAGGGCGCTGGAGCAAAAAACAGTTTGATCGAGTTCAACGATGACCTGGCCGTTGCCCAGCCTATTTGTATGAATGTGTTTTTCGACGGTGCACGGCGGAGTGTTGTAGCATCCTATGGCTGGGTACTATATATTGCTTTCCGCTATGAACACGACGGGTCACCAGCATGGGTACGAGTTTGCGCCAGACCAGCCGTTCTTGTTGAGGTCATTTCGACACAGGCTGCGTTGTGCGGGTCTATCGTAGTAGAAGTTGAGATCGCCATTGCGTTCACGAGCGCGCTCTGAGTTTTGAAGTGATCCGCAGCAGTTGCCGTCGCGTAGTCGAGGCGGTAGAAGGAGGAACGTATCGTCGAAGGGACACCCGTAGAACAGCCTCAAATCAACAAGCACATAAGAAGGTGTACAGTCATAGATGTATAGTCATAGAGAGGTGTCTAGATAGAGAAAAAGAAGGACGAGAGAAAGAGAGAGAGGGAGAGACACAGAGATAGACAGACAGACGGCGACGAATCCATACATATAAAATGTATTGATACGTAGATCTGAACAAATCTAGGAACAACAAGAGAGAGAGAGAGAGAGAGAGAGAGAGAGAGAGGAGGAGGGGACTCCGATAGATAGAGAGAGAGAGAGAGAAAACAAAAGAAGAGAGATTGAGAGGGAGACGAAACAAAGAAAGACACCACACATACATATATAGAAAGAAAGTGCGTGCTTGAGGGGGGAGGAGCAGAAGTACGAGCAGGAGGAGGAGGCCCCTGGCAGGACGAGGGCGCCACCCTCCTGGGCAGCGGGGTCGCGGACGGTGACACGCTCCACGTAGCGCGCAAGGCCCTTGGCCCAGCGTCTTCCGAGCTCTGGCTGCTCCTCCCTTCTCTTTCTCCTCCTCCTCATCATTACCAACATCATCATCAGCATCATCATCATCTTGGCCATCATCATCATCATCCTCACCATCACCATGGACATCAACATCAGCATGATCCTCATCATAATTATCAACATCAGCACAGTCATTACATTCGTCATAACCATTATCATCATCAGCATCATCACCATCATCATCATTGAAATCAACATCACCATTCTCACAATCGTCACCATCGCCATCATCATCACTATCCAACCATCGTGACCATTACCATCATCATCATCATCATCATCACCATCATCATCCGTACTCCTCGTCGCTCTTTTCCCTCCATCCCTTTTCCTTCTCACTCCTCCTCCGTCCTCGATGCGTCCTCTCCCCTCGCCCCCTTCCTCCCTCCCGATCGGGACGGGCAATTCGGAAGGGGTCCCCCGAGGCCCCCAGAGGCCTCCGAACCAGACTAGGGAATAACATCTGAGGAGGAGGAGGAGGAGGAGAAGGGAGGAGGAGGAGGAGGAGGAAAAGGAGGAGGAGGAGGAAGGGAGGTGCGGCAAGGGGCCGTGGGGTTCGCGGGGGCGGGTAAACTGACGCAGTTCCAGTTCCTGCTCTCGCGAGCCGATCTGCATGGTCCTCGCGTGACCCCGCGTCGAGGCGGCCTGCCTGGCGGGCGAGTCTGCAGGGTTCCTGGGGACACCGAGGGAAGTGCCACATCTGTCATGAGACGTTTGAGATTGGCGAGCTGCGGCTTTCCAGCTCCAGCAATCCCTGGAGCCCCACATTCGCCCACCCCACCTGTCACGGTCAGTGTTTAGGTTCGCGCGCGGAAGTGGAGGGGTGGGTTGACTTGTCGCCGGAGCAGCAGCAGCAGCAGCAGCAGCAGGGGCTCGCTAGCTGGTGCGTGCGAGCAAGCGGCACCGCCGCCCGCGCCAGGACTGCCTCCGCTGCCGCCGCCGGGCGCCAGACGCCCGGGATGCTGTCCAGGCACGCCTGCCATTGCACGAGCGGGACATCGCTGACAGGGGCCTGCAGAACATGGAGTGGTGGGAATCTGGGGTGGCCGCCTTGTCCACGGAAGCCCTCTTCACTGACCAGTGCGGCACGCTGACCGAAGAGCCGACGGCCCTCACGCACGCGGTAAGAGAAGCACGGGGGGCGGTGGCTGGACACATCATGTGGAGCTTTGGCGACGAGGACGCCTTGCAGGGCTGGCGCCTTCTTCTCTAATTCGATTGGCTCCTGTTCGGGGAGCTGCGCCGCGACACGGAAGACAGCACCAAGACCGTCCGGGAGAGGGTGGCCGAGCGGTTGGATCTGTTTTGGGCGGGGGAGTGGGACCAGCTCATGTGCCTCACGTCAACGCGGGTCAAGACACGTTCCGCTCAGAAAAGTATGTCCAACAGCGTCCAGCGCACCCGGTACCTATTGCACAAGGGCGAGCTGGGGAGGGCGTGCCAGGCAGCTTGGGGCACGGTAGAGACTCGGGACTTGGGCACTACACGCCAGGCATTTCACGCGAAGCAGCGTTTGGGCGAGAACGTGGACCAAGTCGACGGGGGTGCGGAGGAGGACATGCATGTTGAAGAGGAGGATGGGGAGGGGGATGCCGAGGCCCGTCGCAACCGTGCGCGCACCCTGGCAGCTGACGTGTACACGCACCTCATGGGGAACTGGTCGCGGGTGCCGCGGGGAGCGGGTTCGGGCCCTTTGGGTGATCGTTTTGAGCATTGGCTGCCTCTCGCTCATTCGGGCATGAGCGGCGAGAACACTGCGCAGGTGCTGGTGGACCTGTGCATCGGGAGCGTGCCGAGCGAGGCGAAGGACCTCCTTCGCGCAGGGCGCTTGCATGGCATCGCCAAGCGGGACGCCGGTGGCATTTGGTACGGTCCCACGCCGATTGATCGGCCAGGCCTCGCCCGCCCCAGTCGTCTGTTGCCCCGTCTGCTTGCCAGGGGGCGCGGTCCTAATCGCAGGGGGGGGGTCAACTTTGGATTCCGCGGGAATGGGCGGGGGTGGCGCCGGCTACCGCTGGCCTGCTTGCCCGGCAGGGTCGGCGGGCACAGCGACGAAACCCGCCCCGTCTTGCTCCTTTTCCTCCTTCGTTTTTCCTTTCCTCTCCCCCAGCAGCGCTGTCCAGTATCGGGCAGGGGGGCGCGAGGGCTGGTTCTCCCCCCTCTGCTTCTGCTTGCTGGCCCGCCTCTGTCCGCCCCTTTCGTTTCAGTTGAGGCGGAGGAGGAAGAGGAGGAGGAGGAGGAGGAGGAGGAGGAGAAAGAGGAGGACCTGTGTAAACCCAAGAGTCATCAACAATGTTGGAATACAACCCTCCCGCCAAGCGCCTTTTTTTTTCATAGGCCCCATACAACGGTGCATTTCCACTGGGGGAACTGCCCCGTTGGACGATAACCGTTTGAAGGCCCTGAAGCATACCGAATCATTGTTTTCGGGATTCCAACGACACGGATCAACTTGACTGTTGCATCTTGACGATCTTAAATCGTGTCTGAACGCCGTTCTTGGGACTGCATCGCCGCGAACCAACGTAATTGTTGCACCTTCATAAACCTGAACCTTTTCAAACCACTGTTTCTGGTACGCTCATCATGGGAGCCAGTGGAACTGTTGCAACCATTGACAAACGAATGTGCGCGGAGCTAGGGCGAAAACCACATTTTGAAAAGAAACCGCCTCCAATCCGTGGATCTCTTGCACCTTTGAAAACGAATGTACGCGGCGCTAAGGCGAGAGCCACATTTTGAAAACGACCCGCCCTCAATACAACACATTCTTGGATTTGTTTCAGACGAATGCGCGCGTCGCTGAGGCGAGAGCCACATTTTGAAAACGACCCGTCCTCAATCCGTGGAGCTCGTGCGAATTTTGAAAACGATTGTGCGCGGCGTTAAGGCGAGAACTACATTTTGAAAACCACCCGCTCTCCGTTTGTCAAATTGCTGCCCATGTTTAAGCGCTAGGGTCACACATTGCGAAAGCGTCTCAGGCGAAACGCCCGGCCCGCCGTACAAATCGGCCTCGGAGTGCGATAAGGAAAAAGGTATGTATAAGGAAAAGAGATGGAGGACGAGGAGGAGGAAGAGGAGAAGGAGGAGGCGGAGGAGGCGGAGCAGGGAGAGGAGGAGGAAAAGGAGGAGGAAAAGGAGAAGGAGGAGGAGGAGGATAATGGAAGTTGTCGGTGGCAACTGGCGCCTCTGATTGCAGGTGGTGGCGCATGTGTCTTGAGGTGGAGGTACGGGTCGCTCCCCCTACGGCCGTCTTCGTTGGCCGAGGGACCGTAGGGGGTCCCCGGCCCCCTCTAGTGCCGATTGACGGCAGAATTGAAGGTTGATTGGTGGGAGCGGGAACCCAAGCAGCCTCATTGATGGAAGTTGCCAGGGGTGTGAGGTCGATTGGCGGTCCTCACCAGCGACGCCGAATGACGGCCCTCGTCGAAGGGAGGGGGAGGAGGGAACGGCGGGGTGTAGCGACGATGCTGTCCGCGATGCGTCCTGGTTCTGAGGCGGGAGTTCGTGAGGGGGCGCAAAACACCAAAACGGCACACACACAGCTTCGATTCCGAAGTGACCAGGCTTTGCGCACTTTGTATCTCGCTGGGGGGGGTAGCGGGTGCGCGTGCTCACGCTCTGGTACCTGTTTGTCGCGCCCTCATGGGCAGACGAACGCGCCCCCCCCAGAAGCGAACCACAGGCCCTGGGGACAACCGCGCCCCGTTGAGAACATGCCCGAGGAGGGGGAGGCATCTCCCGAATCAAAGCCCAGAGGACAAGGAAGGGGGAAACGAGGGCGAACGCATGAGTTCCAGTTCGTTGCGCCCCCAGGGGCGGACAAGACGTGCCCCCCACAGGGGCAGACCGAGGGCCCCAGGGACAGCCGCGCCCCGGCGAGAGCTTTCCCGAGGATGGGCGGGCATCTTCCGAATCAGTCCACCGACAAAGGCACGCAGCCCGCGACACTGCACCTTTGTCCAGGACAGACGCCATCGGCCACGCGGCAAGGACACGAAAGCTTGCATAACGTAGTTATGTAACGCCGTCCATTGCGATCCACCCCCCGCGCGGGTGGGGAAGGATGGGTCGAGGGGCACAGGAAAAGGTCGTCCTGGCGCGCCAAGCAAGACCCCAGGACGACGACGAGGACGAAGGAGGCGGGCGAGGGGGAGGAGCGGAGGAAGAGAGAGGAGGTTGGGGGTTGGGGCGCTTGTTCTTTCGTTTCTCGCGCGGCTACGGCGGTGGGAAGGTCTTGAGGCGGGATCTTCAGAAGGGCCACTTGAACCTGGCCACTTGAATCTGATCACACTTTGGGGCGGAGGCGGGGGCGGTTACCTTGAAAACCTAAGGTGGAGGCCAAAAAAAGGCATGGGCCCAAAACCGGAGCGAAAGAACGACGGCAGAAAGGAGAACGACAAAAGGGGGCAGGACGAAGGGGCGACAACGCGAGCGACACGACCAGGCCAGGGGGAAAGCAAGGTTTTGGCAAAAAGCAACCATGTGCGACCCAATGGGTTCCTGGAGGTCGACCTTCACGATAGGTTGGCGGGGAGCGGGCCCGACCGCATGAGTGCCACTTAGGCACGGGTCGAAACGTCACCCTTGGCGGATTGAGAGGGGGGCACGACCGTATGAGTGCCACCACGACACCGATTGAACCGTCACCCTTGGAGTGCGATGCGGGGGTGGCCAAAGTGCCAAAATGTAACAGTTGATTGACACTGACAGGCACAATCAGCCGGCAGGGGAATTAATCCCGTTCACGGCCCAAGGGAGGATACAAGTTTTGGGTGGCATTTGGTGCGTCTGATTGCAGGTGTTGGCACATGTGTCTTGAGGTGGAGGTACGGGTCACCCCCTTACGGCCATCTTCGTTGGCCGAGGGACCGTAGGGGGTTCTCGGCCCTCTCTAGTGCCCACTGACGGCAGAATTGAAGGTTGATTGGTGGGAGTGGGAACCCAAGCAGCCTCAATGATGGAAGTTGAAAGGGATGTGAGGCCGACTGACGGTCCTCACAGGCGACGCCTAATGACGGTCCTCGTCGAGGGGAAGGGGGGTATGGAAGGGTGGGGCGTAGCGACGATGTCGTCCGCGATGCATCCTGGTTCTGAGGCGGGATCAAAGACGGAGGAGCAAGGAGCGAGGAGCAAGAATGGAAGTACTGAGGATGGAAGAGGGAGAAGAGAGGAGAGAAGCCCACAGGCGATGGAGGAGAGAGGAGGGAAGGCAGAGGGAAGGAGAAGGAGGAGGAGGAGGAGGAGGGGGAAAAGGAGAGGAACTGCTGCTGCCCCCTGCCCCTCTCTCTTCTTCTCCGCGTCCCCTCTCCCCAGGGGGATCTTGCGCCTGCGTATCTGTCGTGTGGCCTTTGGAATCCTCGAAGCCGCCGTCTCCATCCTGCTGTATCCCGCCATCTTCCTGAGCATAGGCATCGACCGTGTTGTCGTCTTGCCGTGCCTTGTTGCCGACTTGGGAGGGAGGAGGAGGAGGAGGAGGAGGAGGAGGAGGAGGAGGAGGAGGAGGAGAAGAATGAGGATATCGAAGCAAATATGCATCAGCGATGCTGCAATGCACCCTCCCGTCCCAATTCCCATCCTCATATGCTCCTGCACGTATGTTCTTTTACTACACGAGGCGCCCCGTCTTGAAACGCCGTTGTCTTGCATATTTCTGGCGCATCATCTGGAACGCGAGAAATTGTGATCATACAGTTGAAGGTGGTGTTCAGCGATATCCCCTTTTTGAAGAGGGGCCGCCCCACATCCGTGTAACCGCTGCACAACTACACGCGTGCGTCCATGAACTGCGAGGGGGTCTCAAGCGACAGCCCCATGTTGAGACACGAGCTGCCCTAGATTCGTGCAGCATTACATGCTTTGAAGTCCCTGGTTCGAAAAATAGCGAAGCCTCACGCGGGAACTTCATTCTCGAAAACATCAGTTCCCTTATCCAGCCGAGCGTTACATTCACAACCAAGCGAATACGTTCGTTTCTGAACCGATAGTCACATTTTGAAAATGACGAGTCTTCAATATTTGAAGTTGTTGCAGGATTTGAGACAGATGATCGCGCTGTTGCGAGAGCTCTACTGTGAAAAGGAACAGCCCTCCATCCGTGAAATTGTTGCAACTTGATAGCACGAATGCGCGCGGCGCTCAGGCGAGAGCTCCATATTAAAAACGATCCGCCGTTCCATCCGTGAAATTGATTCGAGCCTTTGTGCGCGGCGCGAGGGCGAGAACCACATTGCGAAATGCACCCCGCTCCATCCGTGAAGCTGTTTACATAGTGTCAGACGACTGTGCGTGGCGCTAAGGTGAGAGCCAAGTTTTGAAAGCGACCCCCTTTACATCCGTCAGACTGCGGCAAGCTGTGAAAACGAATGTGCGCGGTGCTAAAGCGAGAGCCACAACTTTAAAAGGAACCGCCCTCCACGCGTGAAGCTGCTGCAAACTTTTGAGACGGCTGCGCGCGGTGCCATTCACCCTACATCCCCCACAGTGCTGCAGACGTTTAAGGCGAATGTGTGCGGCCCGAGGGCGAGAACACGAATGTGATAACACCCCCCCTCCACACGCGAAATTCTTAGAAACGTTGAACACGAATGTGCGTGGCTGAGGCAAGGAGCGGGAAAGAAGAGGGGGAAGAGAAGGAAGGAGAGAAGGCTGACGGAACAACCGAGCAGATTACGGCGCAGGTGGCAAACGGAGGAGGAGGAGGGTGTCCTCCCTCTTTCCCCCCAGGCCGCGCCGCCGCAGTCCGCGCTGACTGGCCTGCCGGCGCCGCCCCGGCCCGACGCGCGGGAGGACAGCGGGCCCACGCGGGGGTGCCTCCTCCGCCCGGGCCCGGCGGCGCCCCTGTCCAGCCAGGTCGTCGCAGGAGAGAGTTGGAATGCTTTTGTAAAGAAGACGGGCAAAAACAAGTGTCGTCTCATAATTGACGCGCGTCGTGCCAACAGGCGTCTCGCCGAACCCCCTGAGTGAAAGCCTCGCGAGTTCCAGCGTCGTTCTCCCTGGGGCCATTGTTAGTCTTTCTCCTGATCAACTTCGCGGTGCCCAGATGTTTCCAGGGTTGGCGGATGCGAAAGACGCTTTTCATCGTTTTCGGCTTCCCGACGGTCTCGCCAGTCATTTCGGATTGGGGAGTGCGACCGCAAGGGAGATGAATGTCAGCGAGTTGAACCTTGACGGGGTCGTCTTGGGCGCGGATGACCTGGTCGATATCCGTTGGGCGTTCTTGCCTATGGGGTTCTCGTGGTCTCTGTAAGTCTGCCAGCAAGCCGGGGGGCAACGTACGTCTGAGGTCCCAGGATCTCTACGTGGATCCACCCTACTTCAGGACCGAGGTGTACCAGGGTCGTTTGGTCCCTGTGGGCCTACGGGCACAGAATCTGGGCGGGGGCCTCGGGGAAGCTCAGGGGTGTGCCACGACATCAACGTTGATAACCAGGGGCTCTTGTCGCGCGATGCCGCCGACACTTCTGCCGCCTTGGCGGGCGCCGCGGGGCGGTTCGAGGCCGCGGGCTTGAAGACCCACGGAGCATGAGGTGAATGTGACTGCGCGCGAGGCCCCGGGAACCCAGCTAGACTTCGAAGGATTCAATGTGGCGCCCTCATCTGCCCGTTTGTGGAAGGTCCGCCCGGGGGGTTCTCCACGCCATGAGGCGCCGCGAGCTCCCTGGCCGCGCGTGGGAGGTGCTGTTGGGCCATTTCACTTCCTGCACCTTGATGAACCGGAGCATGGTGAGTGCGTTCAGGGGGGCGTGCGCCCTTATCAAAAATATTGCAATTACCCCGACTCCGCTCTGGATCACTGCCCGTGGAGAGATGTCCGCGGCAGTTTCGCTGTTGTTCCTGATGGGTGCCTCGTGGGCCTCGCCCTGGGCCGCGATCGCGTCGGCCGCAGATGCGTCGGGGGAGGGCTTCGGGGCAACGGTCTCGGATTGGGGCCCCAACGACGCGGCCGAGGTGGGAGGGATCATGGAGAGACTGAGAGGGCGTTTTCTGAGGATTCCTGGAGTTTCTGCCCGTGCGCATTTTTTCAAGAGCCTCGGGGAGTTGGATTGCGAGGGCGAGGGCGATGGGCCCGCGCGGCCTTGCGAGATGGACCTGAACTTCCCCGAGGTCCCCCCGCGAGCTCCTTTCGGAGTCCCAGTGGGGCGCCTTCTCGGCTGGCCCTTCGAGGGCATCCTTGCGCTCGAGGCTAGAGCTCTCGCGCTGTGCTTCCAGGCGGTGGTGAGTGAGTGCCAGATCAGAGACTCGCGTCTGCTCTGCTTAGTGGATAATATGAAGGCTTGTCTGTCCTTCGCACGCGGGAGGACGACTGTCGGACTCTCATGTGCATGCGACGGCTGGGGGCCTGGTGTCTATTGCTGGGCCTTCGAGTGCATTTTCGATTGATTATTCCAGAGCGTAGCATTCACGTCTGTTCTCAGTCGACCACGCTGGCTCACCCGTTGGTTGCATGTGAACTCGCGTTCCCGATCGCGAGAGAGGTTGTACCCAATGTGACCTCAGCGATGTCGCTGGCTGCGCCGGGCCTCGCGCCTCGGCGCCCGCCGGCGCGGTCAGCGCCGCGGCCGCGCCGGCAGGCGCGGGGGGGGCCCGCGGCCCCGTCGAGGGCAGCTTCGACGCGAGCCTCGGCGGCGACGGCCCCCCCCGCCTGCGCCAGGCCAGCCAGCCCAAGCTCGGCCGCTGACCCCGGGTGGCGAGCTGGCGGCCTGGCTGCAGCAGGCCCCCCCCGAGTCCTTGCCGGCGACCCCGGGCGAGGAGGCCGAGGAGGCCAGCGCGGAAAACAACGACGTCAGCGGCGTGATATCAGAGACGGAGAGGATCAGAGTGCGCCCGCGACAGGAGGTGCGGACTTTGACGCTGCCCAAGGTGAAGCAGGCCCGTCATCGAATCGAGCCTGGACGTCTTCGAGGGCTCGGGCCCCCGCCGCTGGAGTCCAGCACCATGCAGTCCAAGACCGAGCTGCAGTGCTGCGAGATGGTTACGAACTGGAGGGCCGGCGCTCGGCTCCTAAGCGAGCGTCTCGGCGAGGTTGCCGAGGTGGGCGCGTCGGTGGCGCGGCAGCTGCAAGAGTTTTTCGACCATGGCGAGAACGTCAGCAAGGGCGAGGTGCTCGCGGCGGGGCCGGGGAATTTCCTTCCCGAGTTTGGCCGTCATGGCGGGCTCTACCTTTCGCGGAGCTATCGGGCCTTGAAGACTGGAGGCGCCGATGTCCCCCGCGTCCTTGCTGCCCCCTGGCCTTCGGCATCTGGGCGGCCATCATCTGGGAGCTTTGCAGGAGCAACTACTGGCACATGGCAACCTATGCGCCGTTCATGCCGGTGACGCACATGAGGCCGCCCAAGCCGCTGAAGCTCCTCAAGGAGGACCTGATGGCGCCCGTCCACGGGCTTTCTGCCTCGTGGATCTGTTGCGCCTTCCGACAGGAGAGGGGTCGAGCCTCCAAGATGCGCGCGACCGACGAGAGCATCGATTTGAGCTACCGATGGGCCCCGTACTTCGCGACAGTGGTCGCCGCGCTTCGGACAGGAGATACGAATGACAAGGTCTTCTACATCACGTGCAGCAGCTACGCTCGCCAGCTCAAGATCGCCTGCAAGCGGTTGGGGGCGACAGCCGCGCCCTGTGAGGCAAGGCATTGAGTCGTCTCTGCCGACGCCGCCACGAAGTTCCGCACCCGCGCCGAGATCAAGGCCCAGGGCAGGTGGAAGGCCGACGCGTCCGTCCAGCGCTGCGACAGCAAGGCCAAGATAGTCCAGAGAGTCGACAGGCTGCCCGCATCCTTTGGGTCGCGCGTGAGACGGTGCAAACTCCAGGTCGGGGCCCTTTTGCGTAGCCAGAGCGACCCCTCGGCCATCGCGCTGCCCGCAATCCCGGCCTCGGTCCCAAAAGGGCGACGCGGTGCTTAGCAGGTCTGTTCGGGGGCGCAGGCGGCGTCGGTCGGGCCGCAGGCCGACGCGGCATTCAACGAGGTTGTGGGGCGCATCAGTTGCAGGCGCTCTTGACCTGACAGATATCACGAATATAAATCTCTTGTGTGCCGAGGCGAAGCGAGGAAGTATTGCCGCGCTTGTGATAGCAATTGAGTGTCGGTCTTGGGGCATAATTAGGCATCGCGCCAACGCGATTCGGTCGCGGGCCGAACCTCGGGGCGTCTCGGCGCCGTCGAAACCTTCAAAGTGGGAACCTGCAAGCTCAGAGAGCCCTCAATTTTATTAGTTTTGCGCATGCCCTGGGAGGCCCTTGGGCGGTTGAGAACCCAGCGACCAGCATCCTGCGGCGCGCGCCCGAGTTCGCGCGGTTCGCGACCGACCCCCTTGCGTTCGCAAATCTGGTGGGCCAGCGTGTGTTTTGGAACTCTTTGGCGCAATCGTATTCAGCTGATGCTCGGGAATTGCGACAATATAGATGCTTTCCCTGATCAGCACGTCTGTCAGGGACGCGGAGTTTGCAAGCTTTTTCCGGCAAGCGCCTCGTTGAACTCGGCGGACAACGAATGATTTCCCAGGCCCAGACCTACCGGCCAAAATTGTTTCAAATTCTGCCAAGGTCCTGTGCAGCCCCGCAGTGTACAATCGGGCCTACCTCTACTCCATCAACTCATAAGCTCATATAATATTGGAACGTTTTGGGATTCAACAAATCCTTTGTGGTGAGCATATACTCTCGGCCGCTCTCCGTTCATTATGAGGGCCAGCGCGCGAAGACGGGCGCGTAGTTGACGAGGCAGAATGGGAAAATGCAGGGCCCACATGTCAGTGCGAAGTGCGCTTGCAGACGGGCGCAGGCTCGAGGGCACGGGTGACGACCTGCTTTTATGTCCGCTGTGCTCTCGGCTCAAGCCTCCCACCCGCTCATTCCCCCCTAGTGCGCGTCGTTTTGTGACTCCGCGCTTCACAAGGGGATTCAGCCTATCCTACGTGGTGTGTTCATACTCTCGGCCGCTCTACGTTCCTCTTGAGGGCCAGCGCGCGAAGACGGAGGCAGAGTTGATGAGACATAATGCTGACGAGGAACACGCAGGGCCCTCATTTGTATCATTGCAGTTTTGCCGTTCGAGCCTCAGCTTTGGATTCCGCGTGCGAGGCGAGAGCGGCATTGGGGTGGCCCAGGGCAGGCAGGGGCCCACGGCGCCAACGACCATGCTCAGAATTGCAAGTTCTGGCATTTATGTTTTTTTTTTGTTTGGGGGGGCATTTCAGTTGTCTTTGCAGGGCAACTTTGCCGTTCTTGCAGAATGTGGCAGCGCGCTGCAGAAAGGGGGTCGGAGAAACTCCGCATGCTTAACAGCATCCATCCAGAAAGGGCGACGACGATGGCGATGACGGCAACGACGACGATGGCGACAACGACGACGACGCCGACGCATTCGGCTATGGGAGCTTCTTGGAAGCTTCTGTGAGCCTTAAATTGAAGCCCTTTGGGCCCTCATGGCGCGTTCTTGGGGCGCTCTTGGGCCTTCCAGGAGCGCCCTTGGGCCATGGGGCCGTCTTGGAGCTTCTTTGGGCGCCTCTTGGGCCTCTCTTAGGCCATCTCGGAGCCATCTTCCAGGTCATCAATGAAAGAAGGGAAGGTGCTTGTCCCCGCCCCCACGCCAGGGCACCCCAATGCGCTTCTCTGGCCCCTCTTGGGCCCCGCATGGGGCGCTCCTGGAGCCGTTTCGGGGCCATGTTGGGCCCCTCCTGGGATTGTTTTCCGTCATCTTGGGGCCGTCGGAAGCCCATCGGAAGCGAAAAGGCAAGGGAAGCAAGCATCATTGATTTGATTTAATCGGTTCGCTCAGTCCGCCGGCCCGC